CTTCGTCACAAAAGCGTAGTAATACCACACCATCGTGTAAGCGCATTACTACGTTTAGATGAAAATTGGGTTATATGCGTACATAGAATAAGGCAAAAATAGATGAAGAAATCACATGCACTAATGGGAAACACATGTTTTGCCAAATCATTTATCGTATTTAAATAGAGTTTCGAGACTACCAGTAATTCATTTATATGAGATGTATTTACCCAATTTCGTTTAAGGTGATGAAATACTGGTAGTTTAATTTTCTCACAATGATATGAGTGTTTCCATTGGAATTCACATAGCCTTGCCTTCCCAAAAGTTGTTCTCATCCATGCAGGAGTGGACTGCAGTTTCCACCTCGAATCGGTCTTATCAACAGCCCCAGCGGGAGTTGAACCGTGACAGTGCAGAATGGGAGCTTGACACACTAACCTGGATCTCATATTACTGATTTAATGGTAGTCTCAAAACTCTATTCAAATACGAAAAATAATTAACGTAGTCGGTTGTTATAGCAAATATATGTTTGCTTCATCGACAATCCCACCAAAGAACCTGATATGGCAAAAGGCCTGACCTTCCTTGAAATTCACTTATGCCCTTTGACCCAAGGGCACTCGTGGCAATGTGGTCGAGTGGTTAACATGTCAAGCTCCCATTCGGCACTGTCACGATTCGACTCCCACTGGGGATGTTGATAAGACCGATGCGCGGTCAAAACTGCAGTCCACTCCTGCATGGATGAGAACAACTTTTGGGAAAGCAAGCCTATGTGAAATTCAATGGAAACGTCAACTAAACTTATATGATTGTGGGAAAATTTTACTACCAGTCTTTCATCACCTTGAACGAAATTGTGTGAATACATCTCAAATCACTTACATCCAGTCATGGGGTAACATCTTAACGCCAACTAGACACCAGAATTCACAAAAAACTGTATTTTGTCTAAATATAGTTAGGAGTATGAGAGGTTAAGGATAAAAGCATGGTAATAGAACAATAGTGAACCCCTTCTAATGCCGCAATCTGTTTAAAAGGTTTATCAAGTGAACCTGGTGAGCTTAACTAGATTCAATCAGACTGCGGAAAGTCTTGCACATGCTTCCTCTCATATTATATAGGAAATGTGGAGACGAGTCGATAAGTGAATATAAGAAACGTGCACTCGTTTCCAATAAAAAGTTCAATCTCCGTTCACCTCAGTATGGATATACCAAAGTTGAAGTGTCTTATAATCAGCATGGAATAAGTACAAGAGGATACCTCGTGGATATATTTAAAGGCAAGCGCTAGGACAGTTAATTCTGTCTGGTGAGTTGTTTTGATTAAAAAAGAAGTCATGGGGCACAGTAGTGAGATATCCTCGCCTAATTGCTGCAAACCTGTGCAAAACCTCCTTGGGCAAATAGGTTGATCAACTTCAAGTTAAGCCGGAATTTTAAGTGCAAAATAGTCATTTTCAAAAGCAATGGCGCACGAGATAAAGTAAGTACATTTGTGCTGTTCTATCAGCCAGAAGGATGAAAGATGCAATATATGTATATATATATATATATATGCGTATATTAAATGTTAACAAGGTGTTTGATGAAATCGAAATTTAAAGTAGTCATATTATTTCATAAATATAGATAAAATTAATTGGATCATGTAAACTTCAAGTGGAAGTTGTCGAATTATGGGCAGACATTGGAGGAACAATCGATCCGTTGTATAAAAGAGTAGATAGAACTAGTTCCAATGACCTTGGTACATTAGGAACCAGCACAGAGGAACAGATTTACCAGGATACAGAAGACCCTAGAAATGAATGACAAATTAATTCTTCTGGCGGATAAAGGAGGAGAAACAGTGATAACGGACAAAATACAAGATACCGGAAAATGGAATGTATTCTGCGAGAAAGGACTTAATATCGTGTACTAAAGAAGATCTTAACTAATATATAGCAATGGAACCTTACAAGACGTGCTGTAAGATATGCATATGAACGGAGAAATTGACTCATGGATAAGAAAGACATTCACAAAAAGGGATGCACGACCACTAACAGCCTATGGATTACCTAAGCTACACAAAGAAGGCGAACTATTCAGGCTGATAGTAATTAAATGACAGATTTATTAAATGCAGTGAA